TTGTCTACTCCAAGCTTCCGCTTGTAAACCCATTTACAGCCAATGGGTACAATACCCTGTGGTGGGTCCACCAAGGTCCATACCTTGTTTGAGTACATGGAGTCCATCGCAGACTGCATAGCTTCTTGCCATTTAATAGAGTCAATGTCTGACATTGCCTCTTCATAGCTTGTTGGATCATTATCCAAAAGGAGTCCCTCTTCTTTGTTCTCTAACAATAGGTTCAGCCTCTCAGGCGCCCTAGAAACCCTTACAGATTTCCGAAGAGGTTGTGCCTTAGAAGGTCCAGTCTCAACTGGTGTGTTATCCGTGGCAACTGGTGGGATAGTTTGTGGTTCTTGTTCTTCATTAAGTTCTACAACCTCACAATTCTTATCAGAGAGAAACTCTTCTGGGATCTTCTAGGGACAAGTAGTGTTGTACATAACTGACATCAGGTAGTCCACTTTGTTACCATTAGATAGAGTCAAGATTGAATATCAACCATTGATTTCATGTACAAACCATTTACAATGAAAAAAAGAAAGATTTTTGCTTTGTACATGGATTTGTACACTTGTACAAGCGAAAAACCTATTTTACCCTTACTATTATTTAAAATATAAATAAATTTTAATTTGATGTTTTCTATTTATTTTGAAAGTCTTATCTTTATCTAATTTATATATCAGTCCTTTATGTTTTGTACTTATTATTACAATCCATTATCTAAATGTTCATCTTTTTTTTTTATCTGTAGATTTTTGTTCATCCATCGTTCTTCATCATCGCCATCGTTCTTCATCATCGCCATCGCTTATTCCTTCGATTCCACCGGCGAGAACTTCGCATCCCCTAATTTCGATTAACAAAAGACCAATCCATTCAGGTAATTGTTGTTCGAATCGAATGGTGAACGAAATCAAACACCAATATTTGGTACAAAAAAAATTTCCTAAAAACTCTTGGATTTCAGATATTGTTTGTTATTCACTGATGAATATTAGATTTAATTGTCGCTCGTTTCCCTAATTTTCCCTTCTGCAATTGAATTCCTTTTATTATGTTAGCATTTGAAAATTTGGAGATGATATATTTATTTTCATTTCATATTAGAGTAGGTAGATTTGATGAACGAGGAATTAATGTTGTTTATGTTCTATCCTTAAGTAGCACATTATATGGTTGTTGGAATGCCTCACCCCTGAGTACATAGATGATCAATTTTCCCTCTGTTGGAAATGCATTGATTCGAGGAGTGGCAACTCATGATGATTCTATTTTGCCTATTTGCTGTTAGAAGAGCACTTGATGAAGCCTAGAAACACAATTGGAAGTATATTCATTGCAGTATGTGTAGATGACTAAGAGCTGGTGCCTTTGTTGAACTCAATAAGATATCCTACATTTTCTTGTTGATAATTTAATCTAATGTGATCAAATTTTGTTTGTAACTTTATAAATAGATTTGTACTTCTTAGAAGTCTCATTTATACTTTAGGCAAATTACAAGTACCTTGCGCTTGTTACATGAAGAAGCAACACATCCGGTAATGTAACAATGGCGATTGTACGGTCAGGTAGGCTTCGAATGTGATTGTACATAGCTAACATCAATAATGCCTTAAATTAATGCCAAGTGTCCCTAGAGCCTTGTACAATTCACTTACGACAGGTTGGTGTGGCACTGGAACCGTAAATGCCTAATCATTGTCAATGAAGTGTACAGACATCTAATTCAGCATCATTGGAACAATATGATGACAGCAACCTCCACCTCTGATACCAAGATGATGCAGACTATGTGGGACAAGACCTGGAAGCTTAAAGTGACACCCAAAATGAAAAGCGTCAATTGGAGATGATGGTATGGATCGTTGAACACAAATGGTCAGTTGCTGCACAAAAAGATCAAGGTTTATACTATCTGTTGTATTTGTGGAGAAGAAATTGAGGACTTTGTGTTGGTGTTATATACTTAAGCTTTGCTTTAGTGGATATTACACTTGTTATTTCTTGATGAATGAGAATTATGTTTGGTTAAATAAGTTCCACGTTCTGTTGTTTTGCATGTAGATAAGTGGGTCATCATCGGGCGTACCGAAGATCACTATATCAGTTACTTGCGAAACAAGAATCATTGGTTCACAACCTAGATGGAATTGAACAACCCATCGGAACTGTTGTAGTGTCAACCGTACGGTTTGTCTTGACCGATTAGTTGCACTAGTACATTTATATATTGAACAGGATCTTAGAGAGGGATGTTCGTTTTATACTGATCGTCGTAAACGAACTAGGCCTCAGTTAATTATTGCGTGCTCTTAACCCGTAAGATATTAAATAGGCATGTGCACATAATTGT